CCCCCCCCCAGGGCTTACTGCGCGGTACGTATTAGGCACATGGCCCTTCAGGGAGAATAAGTATGATAGCATATACTATATGTAATGTATATTTCTTTTTTCTCGGCTAAACCTACAGCAGAAAAATGTGGGATTTGTGAAAATCGCGGACGTCGAAACAAAAGACATTCCAATAATCCTACTTCCGACATAAAGGTACAGCGAGCCAATCGCCTAAGTGATTGAATTCGGCCATCTTTGGTCGCCTTGTGTAGCGTCTACTGGAAGTTGGGAATATTGGGATTTTCTTTGTGGGCATCGCATCGCCGTGCAATTTGTCCGGAGACTTTGCAAAATGGGGCGTCGGGACGTAACATCTGCAATCCCGACGACTCGTTCGCGCACAAAGTTTTCCCCCATGACGTAGCAGTGCGTTTCATTTGGAACGTAAGGTGCGCGATATTTCTGCTTGTATTTCTCGAGATTTTATAAGTCTTAGGTTTGTACCTTGCCAAAGTGAAGTTTTCTTTCTTGTTAGTCTGACGGTATCTATGGGTGAATATTTTTTAGGAGTTCCTCAACCTGGGCTCGAGATTTCTTATCGGTTGTCATATATTGTTATTAAATCTTATTTGCCATTTTTCCAGATACTTCCTTACTTTACTTGGAAGGTAGAAGCTGGGCTTATCGAAGCAACGTCCTGGCTATGCCAACTTTTTTAATACGGTTTTCGCCCCTCTTACAGGGATCTAGAAAAGTACAAAGTTTTCTTGATGAAGACACGCGCCAGCTTTTCACTTAGCATATTTTAAGGGATTCGCTCGTAAACTAGACATTCAAAATCCCCAGTACATCGTTGCAGACTAGCCAAAGCCTAAATGAAAATCGTAAAACGTCTTTACACTCTTCTTATGGGTAAGGGGTTGCTCATAAAAATTGATGGTGCATATCTAGGGGATTTCATGGATGTGTCAGGGGTGATAAAAGTATCTGTAAATTTCTTCGTCACCCGACATTAACGACTCTTTTTTTTTTCCAGGAGGATAATTTGAAAACCACCCTTGATACGAGCCTAATTTCAAAAGCAGACCCCAAGGAGTGCAAGATAAACAGCTAGGTACAATAAAGCAAGAAGAATTCTCTCCACCAAGAAGACCGACGTTTCAGCAGTCATTGTAATCTTGGCAGAAAAGGTGCGCCACGTTGCGATTGTTAATATTTTCTTTGAGATTAGATTATTTGGCATCCCCCCTTATCACCATCGCTGGAATGGAAGTGTCAATGTTTGTCTCAACCGTCCGAGTCACACCGACGACTCAATCTTATTTAGCACGAAGGTTTCGCCTACGAATAGTTACAAATACTCGTGCACAGTCTGCCGCGCAGACTCCACGAATGTCAAATAAAAAGATAAACATTTACGTACGAGCAATTAATTCTTGATTGATTGACTATGGTATATTTGTGGAGCAGACGATGTTGATAAGTTCAAAAGTCATGAAACGAGTAGCCTAAATACTAAAGTAGATAAGGAACAGGGCATTGAATGATACTCGATCAATAAACATCTAAAAGCTAATCCAATGAAATTACCACGGTGGAATGTGACAGTTAACCGATTAGCAGTTTATATAGAAAAATAATGAAATCTACGCCCGGATCTCAGATTCTATTTTTCCTTCCATCGATTAATAGCGAGAACGAGCAAAGACTTAAAGTGAACTTGAAGGATCAGACAATATTCAGCGAGTAGATGCAAAATCGTGGGTTGCCCCTTTAACGAGACTCTGATCTAGATAACAGTAAGAAGCTGCGGTCGGCGAAAACAAGTGTAAAAAGTGCAGATCCGCATTTAGAGCTACGTCGCCGAAGACAAAGCTCAGGACATTTACCAGAAGCTCCAGCCCTATCGTTTGCCTTGAGCACTTGAGTGTTTTTGGTTTAGCGTTTTAAATAGAACTTTAAGGGGTGCTGCTGCTTGACTAACCTAACCCAAAGGAACCACCGACACTGAAATAGTCCTATCCTCCTAAGAGTCAAGCATGCATCATCCCCCTCGTGGACCCTCAAGATCTTCAATGAGCGTCGAGCGTCTTGAAAGCATTTCAAACTTTTCTCATTTTCACAGTAATCATATAGCCGTCTTCCCAATATGAATTCCCATAATCTAATTAGTCCGTCATTATGCATCAGAGATACAATTGGAATCTACAAGAATGTTTTATTGCCCAAACACATAGAGATACCGTTTTTCTTTCTTTTTTTCTTTTTTCTTTTGAAAGCCGCAGTCCAATACCATAATCCATCCTACAGTAAAGTGTTGTTTCTACACGTGAGTAAATGGTGGGTTTAATGTCGTAAAGATAAAAACGTATGAATGGATGAAGGGAAGAAGCGAAGGGACAAGCAATAACGTTATAATAATATAATAAATTCCATAAGTTAAAAACTTTAAGAGTCCGCTGGCCGTATTGTGTACTCTTCAAAAAAAAAAAAAAAAAAAAAAAC